GTGGTAGTGGTAGTGGTAGTGTAGTATTTGTATGCCCAGCTCCTGCTGGGGGCAGGCGCATCCTCCCTCCATCGGTTGCGCCTCCGAGTTTTCAGGCTTTTGGGGCCGGAAGTCCAAGCCCTAAGTATAATGTATCCCCAAAACCTTATTCTAAATATTAAGGCCCCTACATCCTAGCTTTGTCTGCCCAAACCCCCCCTCCCTAATCGAAACCTTCGAAACCCGAAGCCCCAAACCGATCCAATTTCTTACACCCTTACCCTTGTGGCTGGGAAGTACGATGACTATTTTGGGTGCTGTTATCATTATAACCATTACCCTTGTTGTCAGGAAATCAATATTGCGATTATGATAGCAGGAGCAAAAAGACCAATAACAGTAATAAGAAGAAGACGACGAAGAATCACAGCATCATGATGATTGTTATGGTTGAGATTTCTGGCTTCAAGCTTTCTGACCCAGAGCTCCTTCCGTGACTCTGCGGATCCCGACGGCTCATTTGGGTTTGCGCGTTGGTTTTGTAGTTGTAGCTGATTTGGTTTTATAGGCTATTTGGTTCTACAGGTTATCAGGTTTTATAGGATATCTGGTTGTAGCGGTTGCTTGGTAAGTTTAGGGTCTCGGGGGTTTAGNNGGGTTTAGGGTTGAAGGCTTGGGGGTTTAGGGTTGAATCTCGGGGAAGCGGGACACCTGAACCCTAGATCCCAACCAGGGGCTCCAAATATAAAGCTCCCACACTTCCTGCTGGGCACCTCCGTCTTTGGGAGGCGACCCAGACCCGCACAGATTGAGGATCCCCATCGCAGCTGTTAGAATGTGCAGGAGCTATGCCTTTATGCACTGCGGGCTTGACATGCTGCAACTGTGAAATCGAAAGACAGACCTAAAGATGCAGAACACCCTCGCCACTTTTCTGCTTTTGCTGCTTCTACTACCGTATGCTCTGCCTTTGTGGGCTGCTTGTAGGCTTCTGGATTCGGTTCCCCAGAGAATTCTTGAATTTAGGATTGAGGATTTACGTCATAGTCTGCCATAACCTAGTTGTTGAGTGGAATCTTTGTAGAAACCCAGAGGATCCTATGTAAACCTAGCTTCTGGTAGGTTACGGTAGAATCTAGTTGGGTTGCTTCGTGCTTTCAGGTGTGGGTTTAGGCAGCTGACGATGTATGGCACCCTCCAGTCCAGTCTGCCGGCTCACATATACCCCCGCGTGGCTCTACACCTCGGAAAACAGGCTGGCGGCGCAGGGATTTAGGATTCCGGGTTTTTTGTTGGTCAGGGGCTTAGGGGTTAGCATAGCGTTTCCAGTTTGGTTGCAGGTCTAGGAATCAGGTTTCAAGGTTCAGAGTTTAGGCGTCACGCTCGTATCCCGCCCCCATTCTCCTAAGGATCCTCTTAGCGTAAACCCTGAAAACCCTAACTCCCCTTAAATCCTAAATCCTAAACCCTAAACCCTAAACCCGAAAACCCCTAAACCCTAAACCCTAACTACCCTCTAAAACCGTTAAAAAGGAACCCTTCGAAAAGAGCTTCAGATGCAGAACCCCGGGGCCTCAAGCACAAACCGGGCCTTAATAATTAGAATCGGGTTTGGGGGTCCATTATACTATACTTATAATAAAAGAACCCCCAAAATCTACTGTAGGTAATTATTTAGGCCCTTACATTAAACCCTGAGCTCCCGATAGAACCCTTGAGCGAACCCTTATCGAACAAAACTAGGCTGCAGCTTCTGTAGGGTGCCCTGTGGTTTGCGGCGCTGGTGAAAAAGTGTTTCGAGGCAACGTGCTTAACTGCGGGGGGGAAGCACACATCCTAATGTGAAAATATGAAGATTGATCGAGTCTCCGAAATTGTGCGCCTTTTTTGCATCATCTCAATGCTTCCCCACACGTCTAAACACTTTAAGACAGGGCTTGGAAACACGTTGTGTGTTTGTGTGTGTGTGTGTGTTAATATCGGCTTGGCCAGCAGCGGCAGACGACGAAGCAACTGCAGAAGCAACACCACGACGAGCAACATGACGAGCAACATCATCACGGTTTCATAAACATCACAGGCACATGCGTCATGTTGGACTCAGAGCTCGATGCGAAGCCAGCGATGCTCTGGTCATCGGCTGCGGTCGGAGTTCCGGGCGGCGTTTGTGGCTGAGCGGTCCGGTTCAACTCTGAGTCTTCTGCTGCGTCCTTCCACATGTGAAGGCTCCTGTCGCCTGGGACGAGGAAGGGCGGTTCGGGGTTTGAGGTTTAGGGTTCAGGCTTCACGGTTTGGGGTTTAGGGGTGAGGCTTTCGGGTTTGGGCTTGAGGGTTTCGGGATCAGGGCTTCATAAGGTCTAGAAGGGTTCTATAGGAGGTTCAGGTCTAGGGTTTCGGGATGTTGGGTTTCAATTCTGGGCATTGAGATTTCGGGTTGCCAGTTTAGGGATCTTGGCGTGTCGGTTGAACTATGAGGTTTGGGGTTTCCGGGCATGGGGTAAAGGCTATAGAATTCAGTCGACTCAGTGTGTTAATGAAGAGTAGAAGAGACCGCCTACGGTACAAAAACGACAGTTCATTGCTGTCAGAGCCAGTGGTCTTGGCAGAAGTTACACTGGTGATCTGATCACCAAGGTACCAACCACCAACCGCTTATGAGTATGGCAGGTTTCGTCCGAATCACCAAGTCTCCAAACCTGAGGACCCTAGGACCCTAGGAGCAAGACAGTCCCACTTCTTGCCGAGCTTCTGATCACGTGGTGGCTTCCTCAGCTGCATGGAGCCGTTCTCAAGCCACGAAAGAAACAGAAGGCACAAGACCAAAGCCCCGCTCCCTGTCACCTCACCTTAGAGCCCAAGATTCCTCACGGACAACTAAAACAGCAACCCCTAGGAAAAGGCACCCCCCCCCTACCTCCGCAAATCCTGCGAATCCTCCGTCTTGAACCCACCCTCCCCCCCTCCGCCCCATCCCTCGATCTCACGAGACTTAAACATACTAAGAACCATAGCCTCTGATGGTCCTTAGACCTACTTAGACTTACTTACCACTATAATTTGCCCCAAAATCCGATTCTCCTGACACAGGCCTCTACAAACCCTCATGAAACCATGTAAATGCTCTTTACAAAACCTCATACACCCCACATTGAAACCCCTGCAAAACCTAAACCCAACAACCAACACCCCTAAACCCTAAACCCCAAA